TTGCACTTGTCATGAGCATAGCAGAAGTGTATTTAGTCCAGAGTATTCGAGTCAGACAAGAAGAGAAATAATTACAGGTAGACGGGATCTTGTTACGATAACTTAGATCTTGAAATACAAGTCGCTATACTCGATCCAGCATCGAGCGTCGAGTAAAAGCTAGCATTTACTTTCTGAGTCCCTAACCTGCACGTACAGTGGCCAGTCTTCACTTTCCAGAGAGCCCTAGCGTCCATCTGGCTAAACATAAATATACCTAAGTCTGATAAATAGCAAGAGGCTAAAGAAATAAGCACTGCTATTATAGGCACACCTACTAACGAAATTAAAGTATAGAGCTAGAGCAGTGAAACAGAGAGGAAGAACAGAACTGAAGAAGTGCATTGTCACTGTCAGTAGTTAAATTCCGGAACCCAGTGTCTCCGTCCAATTTCCGCTAGTTCCTGTCCTGTAAGCACAATATCACCCCCTAAGTTGACTTGAACTCTGGTCGGAGGTTGGGGCCCGGTGAATGCGACGATAGGAAGTCGAACGGCCGTCAGCGTGTTGGTAGGGTTTCTGTGATCCTGGAACTCGACCACAGGACCAGAATGATAGCGGATAATCTTGGCACTTGCTATAAGCATAGCAGAAGTGTAGTTGCGCTGGAGACTTTGAGTATGGAAAGGGGCAGACTGTATAATGCTAATTTCGATCTCTTCAGGAAGTCTCTTGATCTTCGCTGTGAGGCAGATCTTGAACAGCGAGCCATCATCCTCAATCCAGCGTCGAGCGTCGAGTAAAAGCTGGCGTTCACTTTCTGAATTTCCCGCCTGGACACAGACTGTCCAGTCCTTCCTTCCCCGAGGGCGCCAAGCTCCATCTGGCTCCAGAGCAATATTGCCAAGTCTGACGGTGGGCGACAGGGTGGGTGTGCACGCGGTGTACATCAGGCCCTCAGTATTGAGCTTGAGGTCAATGAGGCTGCGGAGCTGAAAGGCGATATCTTCAAGGGCCTCGTTGGGCATTCGAACATGGAGTATGTGCTGCTCGAAGTTGTAAACGCAGTGTAGGCGCCTTGTTGTTAAAGATTGCTGTCTCTGAATCTTATGGAAGATGTCCTCACTGATGTCGCAGAACTCCCGGTGTCCCGTCCGGCCAGCTTGGATATCGGCGTCTAGCTGGCGTTTAATGAGTTCGAAAGTCGGTTCTGGAGTAGGCATACTATATTCGGTGGACTGGTTGGACGTGGTAGAAGTGGCTTCGTATGAGGGGAAAGAGGAGTCAAGAACTGCTGAAGGAAATGACTGGGCGTCCATGATGAGGGAATCCGTTAGGAAGGTGGGTGATAGAGGAAGGTGCGTGAGTAGAGGAAGGTAAGAGCGTATCGCAAAGTACCTCTCGAACCGTCATAGTGACCCTACAGCGACGTTACAAAAATATTTGAACCTTTCTATCACACCGCCCGACATTTGGCATGAGGTATATGCAGAGCAGCGACATCGCTGTCCAAAGTTACGGGCGGAAAGAAGGCTGTTTCTGGCGCCAAAGGCTGTCATTGTCGGCGTCGTTTTCACAGGTCCCTATATTCTAGTTGTAACTCTGATAGCGAACGGGCACCAAGCAATTTCCGGCGGAACCCAGCCTTCGGTATACCAGGATGAGGATGCGGTTCTAAAGCCCCATGATATTTGATGAATATGCTATGAGCTTCTTCCTATTGATAGTAGAACGGGGTCTATCCAATACTCTAGTCCAACTATTCATCCAGACTCACTATTGCAGTATCTTTTGAACCTGACTGTACTGTACCTGAGGCAATGTCGTTATTTCGCATAATAGCAGCACTGCCAATATAAGGCGAATGCACAAGGATATAATTATCACTAACAGACATCTCACTTATAAAAGCGAGCTGGATTATCACTCATCAGCTTTTCCCATGCTTGTTCACTGCCCATCCAGTCCCTCAGACTTCGTAGATCCCAAGATTATCAATCGAACGAAATCCTTCTTTCACGTCGATGTCCGTATTCTTCAGGCGAGCCGCACCGTCTCCCGTATGTGGCCAGTCACTACCCCAGACCAACTGATCCGGGACCTCACGTGCCAGTGACTCGATAATGGGTTTCATGTCACCGTAAGTAGAGACGGCGTTGCTTGAACAACGATACAGGCCAGATATCTTCACTATAACACGCCCTTGTCTGGCTAGGGATGTAAGAGATGAAAAGCCAGGCTGCGATAAGGGTGATTCTTGGAATTCCGGCGGCAACTTCGACCGGCCCAATGCTCCTCCCACATGGTCAGCGATGACGGGGACTGGCAGATCGAGGATGGAGTCATATAGAGCTAGGTACGTCATTATCAAGTAGGTTAAATCGACACACGAAGATACTCCACAAGCGTAAAGACTTACCATCCCATACCCAGACAGGAACATACAGCTGAACCATCCAGCCTGGAAGATGCTGAATGCGACGGGAAGCTTTGTATAGAAGGTGCGCCAGCTCAGTTAGGTTGACTTCACGACCGTCCGCTTGGAAATTTAAGCGTATCCCTCGTGCACCGAGCTGATGCATCTCGTCCAAGGCATGATCTGTCACGTCATCCAGATCAATAACCACAATAGCGCGTCCATTGATGTTACGGGCTTGTAAATCCCGTAAGCATTTTAACAATACCCTGCAATCGGTCTTGTATGGTGATGGCTGCACGAGGACCAGATTACCCACTTGACCGTCTTGTGTTAGATGTTCATTGAAAGCAATCAACCTTGATAGAGGGGCGTCTTCCGGCGTGTATGCTCGACTCGGGGCATATGGTCCCAGACTGGGATCGAAGACGTGGACATGGGTATCGAAAGCGCCCGCTGGTAAGAGAGGCGTTCTGGAACTGTCAGATCCTGTTTCGTATTTTTCATTTGATATTCCATCGACTTCTTACTTTGTCTTCCCGTCTTTCACAGAATTAAAACTATGTGCTGGACCTTTCGTCTGTGCTATGGTGGATACGGTGCCCATCGTGCTGCGCGAAATCTGATACACCTTGAATGATCTACTAGCCCGAGGCAGCATCTGCATTTATCGTTGGTCAATATATACAAGAGAATACGAAACATCAAGTAAATACCAGAAATCACTCATACTAACATATACCTCGGCTGCACATGGTCCATTTTTCCAGACCGAGTCGGGTGTGCCGACAATCGCTCAGAGAATGCAGAGATCGGATGCTTCCGATCTATTTTCTCCTGTCTCCAACATTGAGATACAGAAATGGCAGCGCTAGTAGGAACTTTGATTTATCTATAAGTCTGTCCAATTGCAAGTAGAATAACAGAATAAACCAAAAATAGCTAATTTCAGGACAGACGGACGATCACATATACAGAGTTCTCAGCTGTGCTTAGATTTCCCTTTCACTGGATGATTTCGACGTCACTGAGTCCACAAAACATACCAAGTTGACAATGAATGCGCAAACCGCAGTACCTACAAGCCCTGTAGCTCTTCCTTTAGAAGCGACAGGCGAGAAAAGGAGAAAGATCCCTCTCCGAAACTTAGGGGTTGGGGCCTTGATGAATATATTTCAGGGTCAGTGTTACCGGTCGATATATCGTAGTTGGTCTTCTAACAGCAATCATAGTTACAACCCTTGGTCAGCCGATGGAGGTTCTCAAAACACATGTGAGTTTTCACCTGATATAGTGTGTTAAATGTAGAATCCGCGGAGGCCCGGACTGGAGCAAATCGTTAACAGCACTGAATGCATTAGCTCGCTGCCAACAGACATGACACGTTAAGGGCTGCCGTACAAAAGACATGGCTCCGCGGGGGACCGCTTGCCTTTTACCAAGGCCTGATACCTTGGGTAAGATATAAGGGTTCACTATAGATTTGACTAGACATGCTAACAAGAGTACTGATCCACAGGCTTGGCTGGAAGCCTCCACCAAAGGGGCGATACTCATCATCACGTCGACTGAGATTGAGCACCATGCTAAGATGAAGCTCGGTGCTTCGCCTACTGTCTGTGGTGCCCTGGGAGGAATCGCGGGCGGGGTTGCACAAGCCTACCTGACCATGGGGATGACCACTTGTATGAAGACATCAGAAGTGACACGGACGAAGATGTCAGTAAACGGTGCTAAGGTGCCGGGGACGTTTGAGGTATTCTTCAAGATTATCCGCGAACAGGGGATACGAGGGGTGAACAAGGGAGTAAACGCCGTTGCATTACGCCAGATCACCGGTTGGTCATCGAGGATTGGGATTGCTCGATTTGCAGAGGAACGGATTCGCTGGATGAGCGGGAAGGGCAAAGAAGAGAAGCTTGGTTTTGGTGAGAAGATCCTAGCCTCCACGATTGGGGGTGCTCTGAGTTGCTGGAATCAGCCGTTCGAGGTTAGTTAGCATCCTGTCTTGTTCGGGCATGATATACTGATAAACGTGAATAGGTCCTCGAGTGGAAATGCAGTCAATGAAAGAGGAACCTGGCCGAATAGCTCGTCCAACAATGATGTCTACTCTAAAGAATATTCTTCACACTTCGGGAGTCCAGGGTCTCTTCCGAGGTGTTGTGCCACGAATCGGCGTAGCTGGCTGGGCTACTATCTGCATGGTTGGGCTTGGAGATATGGTGAAAGAATTTGTAAACAGATACTAGACAAACGTTTTTTACCCGGTACAAGACTATAAGCAAATTTTCGGCGTATTCACACCTAATACATAGTAAATCAGAGCGAGATACACCAGTTCAGCAACCTAGCCATTGATAACCAGCAGTATAGTTAGGTTTGACCGATCGTTATCTAGCTAAGTGGAATAGGTGGAAGAAGAGAAAGGAGGCAGACTACAGTAGAAGCAGAAATATAGAATGATTCAGGTCATAGCCTCACTGAATAAATGTTCTTATTTGTGCATGACTGGTAATTTGTCTCATATCTATTGGACTACACTGGATACTAACTATGCACCACCTCATCCGACACTGATCATAAAACCAGTTCTAGCTAGAATCTATACGCGTTCGATGCACCTGGTATTTTGCTTCTCGCTGCAATTTGATATTAGCAATGTGTAGCAACTTGAAGAAAGAAAAAAAAAGAAAGAAAGAAAATGGGCACCTACTCGTCATCCTCATCGTTCTGTCTCTCAAGAGCTAACGGCTGACCTAGTCGGTAGAGTGGTCGCTCAAAGATCTTGTTTATCTCCTCCAGACTTAAGCCGCTAGTCTCAGGAACCAGGAAGAAGGTGTATACGAACGCAAGGAGACAGAACCCGGCGAACAACACAAACGCGCCCCATGTGTGTAGACCAGTCAGTAGAGATGGCGTTGCCTTTGTGATGGCGAAATAGAAAAGCCAATGGAAACACTGAGACAGAGCACCCCCAAAAGAGCGAATCCGGCTAGGCCACAGCTCGGCACCAAAGAGATAAGGCAGCGTGTAGAGTCCAATTGCCCATCCCAAGGCATGAATGTATATGAAGGCAATGGCTGCGTCTGAAGCTCCTTTCGGCATAGTTGAAGGCTCTTTGGTGAAGAAACTCAAATAGCCAGCCAAATAAGAGTGGCAAATTATCTGAATGGTAATACCGGCCATGAGGACTTGCGCCGACCCAGCACATCAACGAAGCATAGCGAGGCAGCCATGCAGAATATGAGCTTTGTAATTGCATAGAGACCCGTGCTGTAGACCTTGACTCCAGACCCTTTGATACCTACCATACCAAAAATTGTCGGCAAATAGTTAGTCACAGAATTGGCCCCAGACATCTGTGCAAGGATATACGCCACAAGGGAGAGCTGCACGCGGCGTAGATTGCTGCGTATGAAGAACGTTTCCTTGACTACCTTCAGAGAGCTGGTTGGCCCAAGGGAGGTGTCCTCTTCTTCTACCTGGCGTACCATTTCACTGTATTCAGTGTCCACGTACGGGTGGTTTGCTGGTAGACCTCGAAGACGTAGTAGGGTAGTAAGGGCGCTTTGTCGTTTATTGCTCAGAATGATCCAACGCGGGGACTCAACGGCAAAGAAGGAGAGGATGATACTGATTAATGGAGCAAAGGTCTGAGTAAACCAGGGGACTTGATACTGGAGATTCTTCGCCGGTGATATATGTATGGAGCATCCATACACCGTGAAAACACCTAACGCCTGTCCAGACAGCATGCAGACATTGAATAGCAGAGTCATGAGGCCTCTCGTAGCCTTGGGAGCCACCTCTGCAATTGTCATTGGGCCTACCACGGTCAATGCCCCAATTCCCAGGCCGGCAATCAGGCGGCCAGCGTAGAGAACGCCGACATTGCCGTAGGAAAAACAGGCTGTCAAGGAGCCAACGATGTATACCAACTGGTAAAGTCGCATCGACCATCTGCGACCAATGCGGTCATTCAGTAAGAAGGAGAGCAAAGCACCGACTCCCGCTCCAAGGTTGACGAAGGAGACAATATTCGAAATAGTATTGTTGTCTAGATTATACATGCGCTCGAAAGACTTAAGCTGTGTAATAGCAGATGCCGATCCTTCATCCCAACCTATAATTAAACGAGAGGTCAGATACAAGCATTTTGCAATCGGTGAGATCCTAGCCCAGAAGCATACCTTTCGCACAGCCACAGAGGGCAAATGAGACAACCACAATCGCGAGGTTATGGTTGTATATCTCCCGTGGAGAGTCACGGATAGCATGAATATACTTAGCAAGTGAGGTAGTAGAACGAGCCATCATTTTAGAGGTATTGGCCGTACACGAGGACAAAGAAGTAAGGGCAAAGTGTCCACCCAAGGCCTCGCACGCAATCGGTATTGTAGGGCATGGCATCCGACTGAGAATGCTTGCACCTTTATGTTAATTATTTGAAGTGCCGAGACCCCGCAACGTGATATTACCCCAGATTTCAAATTCCCCAGATTCTGTCGCAATTGGAGAAACGGAACCATCCGAAAAGAAAAAGCTGGCTCTGGATGGATGTGATATTGGCCGTATACAGCCAAGTGCAGCTTGGGCTGAGTTAACTACACAGAGGCATTGAAATGCGAGGACAATAAGTGGTATGACAAAACTACCTACGGCTAGTAGCAATTCTTGGCTCCTGGCATGTCCAATGATATCCTTGATATACCCCCTTAACTATAATCTATCTTGCAGATGGCCCGTCTCACCGGGCTCTACTCAATAGGGCAAAAATGGTTCACTTAGAGTGTTGAGATCATCTGATCCTGCATCGGATCTATCCGAAAGCAGACCGACATCTACAGCCGACCAGTAGTTCACCTTAAATGAAACTTCAATTCTGATAGATAAAGGCATTGAAGGCAGTCTCATGGAATACTCCACACCTTGTTAGCTCGTATTTGGTATTTTCTATATTCCGCACCTTGAGACTATCCTGACCGAGATGCTCTCACGCGCAACATCTTTTCCACGGCGTCTCCCAGAACATTTGTCCTTCTCAGGGTTTTCATCCAGACGATGGATTTCTCATTCTTGTAATCTTCGCCAGCAACAAACTGAGCTGCTACGAGTGAAGAAACAACACTCTCTTCCCGCAGCTTACTATAGAGGAGGCACCTCGAGGGCGGTCTTTTTCCGACAGGAAGATCTACCTCGTGACAGAAAGTCTTGGGATCCTATTTTTCTGGATGTGATCGGCAGTCCCGACCTTACGGGCGTCAGCTTGATGGGCTTGGTGGGGGTATCTCTAGTCTCTCCAAAGTGTGCATCGTCGGCAAGTCACAACATCCAGAGGCTGACGTCGACTACACTTTCGTTTCCCTGGGGGTGAAGACGCCGGATGTTGATTATTCAAGCAACTGTGGGAACATGATCAGTGCAGTCGGTCCCTTTGCCGTCGATTCTAAGCTTGTCCAGGTGTCATCTGCCGCGTCCGAAGCGTCAGTACGAATCCATAACACTAACACGGGCAAAGTCATTCGTGCGACTTTTCCAGTTGTTGACGGAGAGGCCGCCTCAAGCGGTACATTCGCCATTGATGGAGTTGCAAGCACAGCAGCACGCGTTCAACTCGATTTCTTGAATCCATCTGGGTCTCGAACCGGGAAACTACTTCCCACAGGAAATGTAGTAGATACATTCGATGGGGTAGCAGCAACATGCATTGATGTCGCCAACCCCTGTACCTTTGTCCGGGCCAGTGACCTTGGTGTGGATGGAAATCTAACCCCCGAGGAGGTAGAAGCGCATCCAGACTTGCTAGTACGTCTAGATTCAATCCGTCGTCAAGCAGGAGTGAAGATGGGCTTAGCATCAACACCAGAGACCGTTCCTGGGAGCGTACCCAAAATCTGTCTAGTGTCAACACCGCCTGAAAATAGACGAGCGATCCAACAGAAACAAACTGTCCGTGATGTGGATGTTCTCGCCCGGTCGATCTCTGTCGGGCAACCTCACAAGGCGATCCCAATCACCGTGGCTCTGGCTCTGGCGTCTGCCGCTCGAGTCCAGGGGAGTACTGTGGCAGATGTTGCTAGCAAACAACCTGTGGATCAGGCGGGTATCACCATCGGACATGCCAGTGGTAACCTACTGGTTGGAGCAGATTTTGATCCTACTGGAGCACTTTCAGCTGCTACCGTCTTCCGAACAGCCCGCCGTCTCTTTGAGGGACGCATATTTTGGAAGGATGAGTCGATATAAACAGACTGCAGGACAAGGACTTACTAGACAGATAGACGATATGTAGACAAAAGAAAGCATGCTTGATTCGCATCTTAAGAGCCGGGTTGCATTTCTATACTAGCACCTGCAGCCAAGATTAAGTCCTATTCTCATGTAGACTTGTAATGATTGTTAAATGATCGAAATGTGATTGGCTGGCTGGGCTGTCTCCATCGAGATCACGTGCCATATATCCAAATGTAAACGGTCGATTAGCTCCATTGCATTTTCTCTCAGGGACAGAATGTGGAGAGAAGGGGGCTCAGGACCGAAAATATGCCCCATAAAGTGATTCTCCTCAAGGGAAAAAGATGAACTCCCGACAATCCATGACAACCCCATCTTCCAGCCCAGTTCCTCGGCGGCATCGTCGTGGACTCACTCGGAGCGCTGCCGCCTGTGAGCGCTGTCGACGGCGAAAACAAAAAGTAAGCATTTCTTTCGTCTTGCTGAACCGCATCCCTGAAGTTCGGCTGATGACCGTACCCCCAGTGTGATGGTAAACCCCCAACATGTGGGCCGTGCGCCGGGGCGGGTGCGACATGCATACCTTCCGAAAGACTATTGATCCGACAAGGAGATGCCGACTGTGAATGTCAGTCGCTTCGTGAACAGTTGGTGTCTTTGGAGCGTCGCTATGAAGCTCTAGCCCAACAGCACGAGGAGTTACTGGCACAGAAGGATAGGGATGCCAACCCTCGAGCCTTGGATGACCACACATTGGTCAATTCTTCATTGGATTACCCCGACGCCATAGGGACTTCTGAGACCGTGGTGCCGCAGGGTCCAGACCTACAGCGTAATGCCAATTGTGCTTACTCGGGCCGCATCCTCCGACCAACTTTCACTAAGAGTACTGATCTTGAGGGCATGAATAAGAGCACATTGAGTTGCGCCTGGAATCTCTGGGGGGATGATTCAGTGCCAACGGAACCGCCTATATCTATGAGTATTCTCAATAACGCCGCCTACATAGAGCTTGTGAATATCTTCTTTGAGCGCCGATGGCCTTACCTCCCCGTGCTCCATCGGCCAACCTTTGAAGCCAAATATCTTACTCCTTTCATGACTAATTTAGAGACCGATCCAGTATCCAATTTCTTTGTGTATATGGTCCTGGCGGTTGCGGCGACAGAGAAATCTTGGGTCGAGCAAGAAAACCGATTGATTCATCGGGAATTTTTTGCTCGGGCCGTGCAGGAGTTGCATTACGTTATGCGCATCGACGATTTTGAATGCGCACAATGCCTGCTGCTTCTTTGCATGTATGGCCACAATGAGCCACAGGCAGTGAATTTATGGTACACATCAGGGCTTGCCCTCCGTTTGGCAACTGGGATCGATTTGCATCGCCGCGAGAGTCTTCTGGGTCTAGACTTGTTCCGCACCGAGATGTCCAAGCGGGTGTTCTGGTGCGCATATGTCATGGATTGCAGCATTGCGGTAAATATGGGACGACCGCTAGGCATTCAAGACACAGATATTTCTACTCCTTTGCCTCTCCAACTATCCGATGATCAGCTATGTGATACAGTTGAGGCTCCCGACCCAGAACCCGTGACAATTCCCAAGGTCACAGACACCTCAACATTTATCCACATCATAAAACTACGCAGAATGAATGCCAAAATCTACAAGGCCTTTCATCCCGCTGTACGTAGCTCATCGGCACGCGATGGGGTAGACGCGCTGCGATCATATTACTATTCAGAATTGAATATGTGGCTCGTCACTGCCCCGAGATACCCTCATACCCATTCTACTTTCCAGTCTCTTGAGTGGTTCCACATTGCTTTCAACCATGCAATCATGTCATTATATCGCCCATCTCGCACAGCGCCAATCCTCTCAGCGGATGACCTCCGCATCTGCACTGAAGCAGCCATTGGCCTCATCAGCTCCTACAGCTCACTTTATGCGCGGAACAAAATAAAATACACCTTTGTGGCCATTCACTCCCTCTTCTTAGCCGCGTTGACCATGCTGTACGCCCTTCGGGCATCCCCGGCTCTTCGCCAGGATCTGACAAAACCCGTGATCAGTACAAACATATCCACTTTTCTAACCCTCTTTCGTGGCATCTCAAACGGCCGTGCGGTAGGAGAGAAGTGTTCTTCAATCATCGAGCGTCTGGGGGCCGCGATCTTGACTTTGTTCGATGACACCGAACAACCAATCTCTGCCGTGGACGATGAGTTCCAGTCGTGGTTTGGGCTGCAGACGAACATATTTTCACCGCGGGATCGGGATGCAACATTTGGAGACCCTGTTGGCGTGTCTCCACATTTACCTGATGTCCGGGTAGATTTACCGTGGACTGACTTGTTCATTGAAGGGCTCGATATGGGCGCCGTGAGCGCTTGGAATTTCTTTTAACGGGCAGGAATTGTGAGATCATTGTCGGTTGGGATTTCAAATTGAACCACCGGGAAGAGGGAGCCAATTTGACTAGATTGTACATATATTGTGGCGCCAGCAGATGTGTAAATAAATATATATACAACAGACATTGACAGGGTTTGAAAACGCAGAAGTGGGCCGTGACTAAGTTCGGCGAAAGGAAAAGAACGCCGACAACCGACGGTCGATGCAGCCGAACATAGCAAACTCAGATCAACGTTTTGCCAACAGCTCATGTGGATAGACAGATAGGGTCAGTGCTTATTTTTCTATCGAGCACAGCCAATTCTATGCTATGAATCGCAGAAGACGGAGCAGATCCACTGATCAGGCCAGTAGCCCGTCCAAACGAAGGAAGATTGTCGCGTACGTTGACCCGCCACTTTGGCTTTTGGCTCAACAGGCGATCGAAACTAATCTCACCTTAATCCAACTACAGTTGTCAGCGCTGTCATGACCATAAAATCAAATGTTCCGGAGACCAGCCGTGCTCCAAATGTCGGCAGGTTGGGTGTGCGGACCAATGCCAGTACACACCAAGGGATCGACAGGTCAAAGTGAGCGAAAGGTATGACCATCTGGCACCGTCGAGAGGACACGACATCACTGGGCATCGCAGCTTACATGCCAAGTTATTTGAATTTGCTGGAATCGGAAAACCAACGCTTGAAAGAGCAGTCAGCTTCCTCGGCCAACGCGACCGAAGCCGACCATGATGCCGAGCCAGAGCCGGTGCCACCTGCAGACGCACCGGACGAGAGCAATACCAGTGTGCGCAATCCCTTGATCGGCGACCGTGCATGGTTTCACCGCTACGATCCATCTACACCTCCACTTTTCATAGGGGAAGCGGCCTGTACAGCGTTTGCTACCCGCTTTCGCCGATTTCTGACGGGGAACAATGCCTTGCCTCATATCCCTCGGACGCAGTATGTCAAGGAAGAGCAGATCGCCGAGGCCAATGCCACCAATGTCCAATGGCCCAGTTTTCACCAGGCTCGATTGCTGGTAAAGATAGCAATACGTCAGGTCGGCTCTATCTATCATCTTGTTCTTCGCAAATCGACGTTGGAGAAGCTCGAGGAGATATATCGAACGGGCGACTTTGACTGCACGGTCAATCAATGCAAGTTTTTTGCTCTGTTCGCGTTCGGGGAAGCGTACTCGATGAGAGCTGAGCCCTTATCTGGGTCCAGAGTGCCGGGGACCTCGTATTTTGCGCGCGCCTTGAGCTTGGGGCAAGTTTTGCCCGAAAGAACAAGTATCACACACCTAGAGACTCTATTGCTACTGGTAAGCACCTTTTTCCTGGAAGCGGCAACCCGGCTAAGATGGAATCAGTCCCTGTTCTCTTACTACCTTAACCGACGTCATTCGGCCTTGGTATTGATAGGAACCGCCCTGCGGCTGGGGCTGTCGATTGGGTTGAACCACAATATTCCTGAATCGCAGCTGATCGACCCCGTGGAGCGTCAACACCGGATCCGGATATGGTGGACGATATACATCTTCGATCGCATGTGGGGATCTAAAATGGGCCATCCGTCGCAGATCCCCGACGATGACATCCACTTGGACATGCCCTCCAATATCAGCCCGGCACAGTTGCACGAGGAACAGTTCACAGATACAGAATATCTGACCGCTAATGTTAAACTGGCCCGAATCGTGGGCGAGACCATTGCAAAGCTATATAGTCGACGAAAGTACAGCGAGACATTTCTACAACGGGTGCAGAAACTGCTTAAGGCGTTGAAAAGCTGGGTGGAAACGCTACCGGAACATCTTCGACTTAACGACGACCCGGGCACCTATATGAAACATATCAGCTCTCTACATCTTTCTTTCAACCAAGTATGCCCTTACTTACTCTACACGTTCACATATCACTTTTTTCTAACCAGCGAGAACAGTGCGTAATCCTAACCACCCGCCCAACACTCCTCCACCTTCTCATGAAACTCAACGAGACCAACTCCCCAAGCACCAACCACGAGAGTATCTCTCAGCCCGTCCTAACCCTCGGCGAAGCTGTATCCACGCTGCCCGCCACTCGCATACCCTTATCCTGACCAAATGGATCAACGGCTCCCTCCCAGTATTCGGCTACTTCCACGCGCACTATCTCTTCTCCTCGGCGCTCGTACTCGCAATGTCCAGCTTCCTCCCAATCGGCAGCCCATCCGACCTGGGAGCATTCGAGTCCGGCCTGGAAGTGCTCCGGTCCATGAGCGAGAACGGGAACCTAGCGGCATCCGAGTTCTACCACAACCTAGAACAGGTGAAGCAGTGTCTCGACCTACGCAAATCAAAAGAATCTAAATCCACATCGATCGCCGGTCAACAACCAAGCACCACCGCATCAGGCTCGGGCCCGGGCCCTACGATCCCATCTACATTCCCCCCGACGGTGTCAACAGTTCCCCCCGCCACAACAGTCTCCGATCCCCCCTTACTCACAACAGCGGAGGCCGATCTGATCAGCAATAATCCGGGGTATGGCCATGCTCAAGGTAGCAATCCCACCTTACCCCCCGGCAACCTCACCTTCCCAACGACAGCAGGCGGGATCACAACCGCAATGGCGTTCCTTGAACCAACGATGCAGGACTTCCTGGCTCAATCGGACTTTGATCTGGGATTGCTACATCCCGTAGATACATTCATGAACGACGAGAATCTGTACACATGTCATGGCTTATAAAGAAAGAAAAAAACAAATCTCAGTCTATTAGTTTATCTCTAATCTTTTAGATCTAGCTCATCTCTAATATCTATAAAAACAACGCACTGTCGTAACCATAACCATATGCACATCCATAACCATAATCATAAATATAAGATCAACCCGAATCAAAACCCAGGTTTATCATGAATGCGGAACTTGCGCTCCGCCCATTGTTGCATATCAAGGCCCCATCGCGAGGTAGCCATCGTTAACAGACCACCGATGATGGAAAGGATCACACCTGCACAACCAGTCAGTCAGTCACACATTCACCCCCCCTGAGGAAATTTAAAAAGAAAAAGAGGGGGAGAAAGGGAGAAAGGGAAACATACAAATGGTAAAAGTCCACCCAACCCCAATCGCATTAATAATCGGCACCACAAGCGCACTACTCCCCGCCGAAAAGACATACTGGATGATATACTTCCCAGCGATGACTTCGGAGCGTTTATGCGGCAAGGCCTCTATATCACCCATTAGCAGCCACTCAACAAAATTTGCAAACTTGAAAAGGATAGATAGGAAGAAAAACCTCACCAGCAACATAAGTATTCAAGGTATTAAAACTCCCCATCAGCCCCCAGCCAGCAAAAAACGCCGCCAAGATGGGTACGACCATGCCGCCCTTCTCCTCCTGCAGGGTCCAGCCGTAGATCAGCGCCGAAACGGGCAGCACGGCGAACAGGGTGACGAGGCCGGAGTTGAGGCGGTCCTGGGGTAATCGGAAGCCGCGGCGGGCGATGTGCTTGCGGACGGTGCGGTCGGAGAGTTTGCCGCCGACGATGCTGCCGATCAGGAAGCCTGCTCCTGGGGCGAGGTAGAAGAGGCCGGAGATCAGGGCCGTGGTGAGG